ATGAAAATTTCATAACAAATCATTCCTCTCCTGGCATTTAAGAGTCCTAGTGACTTGGCTACCTTTTACCTTTCAAGTCCTGCTCTCGCTAACTGCACGCTGCCTCATTAATTAGTTCCAGTCGGAATAAATTCTGTTCTCTCTTCTCTCATCCAGCTGCCCCTCATCTTTCAGCTCTCAGCTGACGTTTTTTTTCTGAAAAGTCCTATGTGACACGTAAAAAGGGAAAGGCGACCTCCTTTGTGTTCTGAAGCACCTCGCTCCTTTCCTGTCCTAGCTCTAGACTCTAATTGTCTTGGTTTTCTATCCCTGTTCCCATCTGAAACTTCATAGGAAGAGTGACTTTCTTATATGCCACATGACCCCGGGGCCTTGTGTAGATTTTGGCATGTACTAAATCACTCAAACACTTGCCCCTTAAATAACTAACTAATATCAGGGCACAAACATTTTCAGCATTCACTTTTATATTCTAGATTACAGCTAAACCTTTCCTCTATCGTAGCCTAAATGTGATTTTGTGCACTCATTCAGTGACTGTCAGCACTGAGAACTACATCAAGACTCTATGACCAGGCTTCTGACATCATTGTGTTTATTATAAAATAGAACCTCATACATGCTTTTTAATGAAGTCATTACTGCAAAGATGTGTCCATTTCCTGTGTCATTTAGAAAAGTTTATTGTGTGTAATTAATGTTGACATGGGACAGAATGTGGGAAAATACAAGTGGGAAGGGTTGTTTGCAGCATTTGTTTGCAAACAAGGTGTCAGACCAGAACCTTTGTGGCATAAGGAATGTTGCCCTAGAGTGACCCATGTGGTTAGTCACCAACTCCTGAGAAAGAGATTATTGAAGCTGGTATAGCCTAGTGCTTAGCTCGTCTTGAGAAGGGTACTATAGTCTACCGATTCAGTTATGTGTTCTATGTTTTTATTGAGATCTTCAAATGCCACCATAGTCACACAAGTATTCTCATCATGTATTTGCACATCCGTTGCCGACGCAGCTGAGTATAATAGATGAAGAGTTCCAGTGCTGAACCTAAGCGGCCTTGGTTGGAAGTCAAGCCCTACCACCTGGTAGCTGTGTGGCCTTAGACAATTAACTGAACCTTATGTTGCAAAGCATGTACAATAGGATTGACAAAAATAACAGCACTTACCTCATTGGATTATGGTAAGAGCTAAATAAATCCATGCAAAACAGTTCTTGACAAAAGTATGAGCCAAATAAACGGTAGTTCTTGTGACTGGTATTATTTCTAGGTTAGATGTTGTGAACATACAGTAAAAACTGTAGCTGTGGTTTCTGCATTCTTGTAGAAAGCTCATCATTTGCCTGTTTTCTGTGAGTATAATTAATTCTTTCCCTCCTTCTTTGCCTGCCTTCTGCAGGCTACGATTCCTGCACTTCCTTGCCAGTTACTGTGGTCAGCAGAAGAAGGTTCAGGTGAGAGATGGGGTTTGGGGAGGCCAAGAATCTCTTTCTTTCCTGGTAATGTTAAAGAAAACCAGAGCTGAACACTGAAGTAGTAAGAACAGAATGTAGTCAGGAATTTTGCAATGGGGGAAGGAGACTTGAGCTTGGAATTTGGCAGGATTCTAAGCACAGTGTGGAGCTTTCTAAAGAAAAGCAGGGTGGAGGTCAGTGGATGGAAACATACTAAGAGAACACTAGTAATAAAAGCAAGAAATAGGTTAAATAGACTTACCAGAATTTTTGCTGAGGGCAGGCTAGGGTAATCAGATATCAAGGAGTAAGGGTGAATATTTGGTCACTACCAGAAATGATCCAGTGTCCAGCTGGGGGCTTCATTCTAAACTGACTCTGGAAGACTCTGGGTACACATGGGCCCTACAACCTTGACTAAGATGCAGGCCAGAACAGAGGCATAGAGGGCTTGGAGGAGCTTGGCCAGAGATTAGTTGAGGAGAAGATTTCTGGCAGTGCCTTCACTAGCAGAAGCTGTGTGGTCCCCACTTTATATCTGCCATGAGTCTTTCTCCACTTTCCCTGATCTCCCTTTGAAGCCCCATTTCTGGCTTAGGGAGTGAGGCCAATACCAAAGACATTAGAACAAGAGGAAATGACAGATTTCTGATGACGAATATCATTTAATCCTTATCCAGCTGTGCCTGAAGATTATCGATGACTAGAGTTTTAAATGTGTAAGTGAGATCTATGAAAATCTCCGATTTGCTTAAGCTTCTTTCACTTGCCACTGGGCAAGGCCTAATATGCTGTCTGCTAATCCTTGAAAACAGTCTGAATTAATATTACCATATAAAGCAATTGGCACCCTCACTGGGTATTTATTGTTAGAATTCGTATAACTGCTACTTATTGTCTTTCCAGGATTAAGGGTATGAAGTTGAGCAAGTTAAACATAATCTTTCTTTTTGCTAGCACAATAATAAGTAATTAATTTTTTTCAAAAATAGTAACTTCCACTATACTTATCCTCAAATCTAGTTTTCTCTGGAGATCTGAGCCTCTTTTCTCAGTTGATATGTACCCTAGAAGTAAAGGATATCTCATCCATTTTAATATGAGGATATAAACTAAAATGCAAAGCAGGAACTTTGGGGGGGAAAGTTTTCATTTATTTTTGATAAAGTAAATCCCAAGCCTCCAGTTATTCTTTATGAAACTTTTCCAATGCAGAAGGATTTTTCAGTGTGATGAAATTAACTGTGTCATTACTGCAGGACAATCAGTCATTCTGTTGTGTGCTTTCTTGGCTCTCTTCCGTTTTCCTCTGATTGTGCAATTTGTCTTCAATAATGTATGTGTCCCCCTTCCATCTCAATCGCTAATGCAAGGCCCTGAAGCTTGCTTGAGCCATGTCCAAAGTTCATTTACTTTGAGGATTTAATAAAATTATATCTTTCATGGTTGATGTAAGTGCATTTATAATCATGATACAAGTACATATGTTTGTGTACCTGTGTTGTGAATGTGTATTTTCCTTAAAATATATGCAGTGGCCTTTTGTTAGTGTTGTAATGTATGTGTAGGATGTAGTTGCCATGGAAATAATAACAAAATTTTCTGACCTATGAAAGGTAGAGAGATGGAGTGCTGGTGGTAGCCATGAACAGCTGGAAGGCTGCTGGTAAAATAAAGAGAAGCTTGAAAAATAAGGGTCCTTTTCTATCTTAATGTTCAGATCAGAGCAATCTGTTTTTCCCTTGTGTCTACAAGAATATGCACCATAGGCAAGCTGTAGGCTTGCTAGTATTCTTTTTATTATTATTGTATATTAAAATTGTTGTGAATCCTAAGTGAGTATAATTTTGGACTTTCTCATTGAATTGAGTATATGATGTTTAACATTATATAAAATCATGGGTTTTATTTTTTTATGAGCAGAATATATTTGTTGAGAGAAAGAAAGCTCCTGTCCAAGAGAGGGACAGGAGGGGTGCCCGAGCGGGTAAAATTCCCCAAAGTCATGGGTTTTAGTGATCAAATATATTTAGATCAAGATTAATATCCACAAAAGACAATGCTGTTGTTAAAATGAGAAAGTTGTCTATCATTATGAGTGGAATACCCTGAGAATTTTTTTACTCTTTAAGTGCAAGAAAATTAGTCAAATTGACCATATTTGATATTTTCTCTTATTAGAAGGAAATATTCTCTAGGATTCCTACAGCTATTGGTGCAAAACTTCTTATGTGGTTCTGGGAGTTTTGCATTGCTTAAAGTTTTGAAGATGCTCTAAACAAGAACCTGGTATATCTTACTTTGCTATTCATACCACCAGTAAGTGGAATGGGAGTGAAATACAACTCTGCGGACCCGGTGTCACTGTCCTGATAACTTGGTGGAGTCACTCTGTGCCATAACAGTGCTAAAAGAGACCAACATCAAAGAACTAATGTTAGCAATGATATAAATGGGACAGGATCTAGGCGTTAAGAAACATTAACTGATGGGCCAGGGAGATGGCTCAGTGGAATAAGCGTTTCCCTGGCAAGCGCAAGGGCCTGAGTTCAATCGCCGTTTCCGCAAAAAAAAAAAAAAAAAAAAGAAACATTAGGTCAGGAACACTGGGATGGAAGAAGTTTCTAATCAATATTTTATAGGAGATGAGGTGATCAGGAGGTTGCAGGGCTGCAAATGATCAGTTAGGATCTCGGACTTAGGCAGACACTTGATGCTACTGAAAGCAACATGACTTAACACAGTAGTTTGGGATCAAGGTGAACATCATGAATTGGTGATTTAACAAGTTGTCACTGACTTCTTCATGAGAAATAACTTACGTAAATGTGAATTGAATTTGGTTGCAAATAAAGCCAATGTGAAAAAAGCGGTAAGACCTGTAGGATGTGGGCATGTTTTGTGTCTAGGAGCTCTTGTCAGCTCCTGTTTACTCGTCTGCTCCTCTTTCCTCCGCTATCTAATTGCTAAGATACCATCACATCCAGCCTTTCATTGTGGATATGAATTGAAAAAGCCTAGTTTTATGTCTATGAAATTCTATAAAATATGTTCAACACGTTGAGTTTTCCCTAATGTGTAGCTTTCAGTGAGTTCATTCCTCTGCAGAAACTGGCTCACTTCGATGCCACAGAAATGAGATTGTGGTCTTCTCCACTCTCCACAAGCATCAGTGAAGTGTAAAGATGGGCTGAGGCATTACCCCCTCAAGGTTTTTAAAATTTTATTCTTTGAAGCACAATGTGTGATCTGTGCCTAAAATTAAAAGATGCCAGTTGCGTCCAGCATGGCTGTGCCATGCAGTGGGGCATACTCTCTGTTTTGTTTTGTTTTTGTGGTACTGGGGGTCAAACTTGGGACCTTGCACTTGCAAGGCAGGTGCTTATGCCACTGAGCTACCTCCCCAGCCCTGGGGCAAACTTTTTGCACAGGTAGTACAGTACCATTCAGATTTTATTTCTGAATGGTGTTTTCAAATTTGAATGCATTGTGAAAAAATAAGCAGTGTTATCATAGTTATGGTTTTTTTTTTTCTTTTCCCAAAGGATCTTCTTAAGAAATGCTACTCAGCTAAGGCATCGTACCTCTTCCAACAGGATAAATTCTATGATGTCAGCTATGATACAGGAGACAAATCTATACAATGCAGCAGAAGACCAGATGCATTCAAATTCTGGATGACCTGGAAGGCCCTGGGGACATTAGGCCTTGAAGAAAGAGTTAATCGTGCTCTTGCTTTATCTAGGTAATGTGTGTGCATGTGTGTGTGTGTTTGTGTGCGTGTGCGTGTGTGTGTGTGTGTGTGCGCACACACATATGTTCTATAATAGAAAAACTGCATGCAATTAACCTTGGTAAAGCCACACAGAACTTTTGCTTGTGAGTTCCTTCCTTCATGCAGCAAACATTTTCTTCATAGCACCAATATGTTAGGAACTGTGAGCAGAGCAGTACTCCTTATGCCTCTGAGATCCAAGCCTTCTGACAGATGCGTTCAGATGAGAAAGCAGGTGAAGTCTCCTGTTTGGTAAGAGAAGTAGATGGTGCTCCAAGAGCCCTTGGTGGGCTCCTTGGCTTGAAATCCTGGCAGAGTCTTCTTGAAGCAAGATCCCCAACTGAGATCTACTGAAGAGGAGGGAGGAGAGAGAGAATGGTCCAGATAGAGGGAGGCCTAGTCCCAAGCCTCTGTATCTGAGAAAATTCAGAAGCCAGCTTGACTTTAAAGACTCACAAAGCAGATCTTTGAGAATGTGGGGACAGTGGAAAGGGATTAAGGAAAGTGTAATGCAGAAGCATTGTGTTTTCTTATGGCAAAGCTTTGGCCATTTATTGCAGCACTGAGGTATAGGAAAACTGAATTCACAACCTAGTTTTATCACTAATGAGCTATGGAACATAGGCAAGTTTCTTTACTTTTCTGTATCTCATTTTTACCCAGTGAGATAATAAAAATAATAGATCAGTCATTTCAAGTAGTTACTGTGGTAGCTACTTTTTAAAAACTTTATGAACGTTATTTAAGTTTATAAATAAGTGAAGATAACTGATATATGTAAAACAATACCTGGCTGTGCTATGTAGTATGTGATTTTTGTTTTCTTACCTGTTTGGCCAATGTGTCATCAGAGTTTGTGATCTCTGGTGGGGATTGTCTTTCCTTCTTCACTTTCTGTTCATGCATCCCTCACAAAAACCCTAAGTATCTTCTCAAATATTGACAATAATGTCTTCTTACTCAAGAAATGGAAGGAATAGTCTCTTGAATAGAATGGCTGACACTCTGTGACTTAAAACAACAATTATTTATTCTCAGAGGTCTGCAACTTGGGCAGTATGCTCTTTCCTCATACTTTGGAGGCAGGCATATTGGGGTTTACTCTCCACATTTTTAAATCTTTCTTTAATGAGTAGGGTAGCTAGGCATACTTTTGTTTATTTATTTTAATTTTTTGTGTGTGTGTGTGTGGAACCAAGGATTGAACCCAGGTCTTTGCATTTACCAGGCCAGCACTTATTCTACTGATCTATCTCCCCAGCCCTGGGCATACTTTTGTGATGGCTATGGCCAAAGCCCAAGAAGGCAAGCCCACTTTAACTCCAGATTAGATTATATCTACTGACATTCCTTTAGTTGAAACAAATGTGTCCAGGCTGAGTATACACAGTTAAAGATATAGATTTGGTACTTTCAGAAATCAATAATTCTGGTAATCATAGTATAAGATGTAGTTTAAATATCTGTAAACATTATGTCAGGATTCTTGGGTGGTAAGCAACAGGAACCTTAATCATGCTATTATAATAAAAGAAAATCAATTTTTTACTTCATGTTACTTGTAAGAATAGTGTGTGAATGACTCCTGGAGTAGCTTAAGAAGCTTAAAGAATGTCATCAGGCTTTAACTTTTCTGTGTCTTTCAGCCATGCTTTTCTTCATGGTAGATTTATTCCCATGTAGGAAGATGGGTGTCAGAGGTCAGATTTTTATTCATCCAGTTTCAAGGTCAAAATTAAAAGGAGAGGGTGGCCTTCTTATAGAAATTCCCAAGGAAAGGTTAATTATGAATGAGTGAGGGAAATGTCCTTCCCAGAGCTAGTCCTGGTTTGCTAGGCCAATGGGACACATGTGTTGGTTATGCTGAGTCACGCGTCCTTGTACGGCACTGGGAAACTGTCAACTCTTTCTAGAGAGGACACTCAGAAACCAGGTACAGATGTGGCTTTACTGAAAGTAGGGTTACAGTGACTCTGTTAGAAGGAGACATTATCAAGTAATGAAAAAGTGAAACTGTGTTCCACAAATATTCATAGTTGCCCATTAAGTTGAAATAAGTTTCTTACTTTTTATTTTCTTGTGCTATTTAAATGTGGTTGAGTCTCTGCATTACTTTGTCTATGTTGCTAAGTAATTCAATGAAAGGTGTCTTGAAATAAGACAAGATATAAATATTTGCTGATCATATTTATTATGAAGTTAACATTCATCTCAGGATTGAATTTAGTTTATAGTCTAAGGATATTTTCTAATTTTTGCAGAGAAATATCACAGGGGATAAATGTTAGCATTTCAATTCAACAAACATTTATTGTTTGTAAATGTTTGTCAAGTGGAATTGAATTAACATTTCAGTGTGCATGACTGCAGACTCTTGTGACCTATATTTCAATATTTGAAAAAGATTCCTTTCTCTTTCACATCCTTATTTGCAATAGTTCTCTTGACTTCCCTTTCCACACTATTGATATCCAGTAGTTTTTTTAATTCATGTACTTGGCAAAATTCCTCCTCTTCTCTCACTTTCAATGACAAAAAAATGGAGAATCTTTTCATTATATTACTTGGAAAGACTATGAAGTTATTACTTGGAGAGAATTTCTTGAGGATGAAGAATCATAGTAAATAAAAACAGGACTTAATTTTCATGAATTTATTATTATTATTATTTTTTTTGTTATTTTCAGTCCTGCTACTTTAGGAAAGAAAAAAATATACTATCTCAATTTTGTTATCTGTTCTGTGTGCTTCAACCTATGGACAGTGATGCAATGGTTCACTGGCTCTCAAAATGAAAGCAAGAAGCCACTATTTGTAGTCTTTGCCAATTTCAATGGTGTAAATAGTCCCAGTAAGGCAAACTGAAAGTGACTAACAGTGGTGATGTGTAAAATCCTGAAATATTTGGCAATGGGCTCTCATTAGCCAGTAGAAACTAGCTCTCAGAACACCATTCATTATGGAAACCTGCATAATTATTTCAAACACTGAAGGATTTGAATTAAAATAGTTTTTCCCCCAAGCCAACTGACCCATGGGAATTTATTTCAGAGTTGAGGAAAGATATTTTCAACCATAATCAAAATGTTCCATCAGGCATAATTTCTATATCAGAATTGCTTTCTTTTATTTCCAAGAAGTATACATTCCTTCTGTAGGTAGCAAGATAGGAAACTCACACGTGGTCATGGTGTAATTGTTTTGTGTTCATCTGTTATTGGCACCATGCTATAGCTATAATACCCATTGGTCTAGGACCTAGGTCAGATCTCTTAAATATGGGAAAGGCAATGCAACTCTTTCCCACCTGTTCTATTAGGCAAAAATTGCACTAATTCTACAGAAACAAATTTTTATGTTCCTGAATATACATGGAGTTTAGTTTTAAAATTTGCATATTGGCCTTAAAATGTAAAGACCAGATTTTTATGGATAACAGTCACTCTCCAGATCACATGGCTCTTTCCATCTTCCCTGAGAAAGTAAGAATATATATATATATATATATGCTTCCCATCATTGCTTATAGACCAGGAGTCGGAAACTTAGTTATCTTTCCCATCTTGCAAGATGACAGGTGAGAAAACTGAGAAGCCAGACCCTTTGTAAGAGAAGAAACCCAAAGTCAAGAAGGCTTCTGCCAGCGGTAATGATAAAAAAGGGTAAGGTGAAGGCAAAAAAGTCCAAGAAGGGGCAGGCCCACTGCAACCAAAATCCTGTCCTGGTAAGAGGAATTGGTCAATACTTCTGATCTGCTATGTATTCCAGAAAGGCTTTTTACAAGAGAAAGTACACAGCTGCTAAAACAAATGTTGAGAAGAAAAAGGAGACAGTTCTTGCTATGATCAAAGAATCAGTCAGTGGGGACAAGAATGGAGGTACCCAGGTGGTTAAGTTTTGAAAAATGCTAGATACTACCCTCCTGAATATGTGACCCTAAAGCTTTTGAGCCACGGCACGAAACCCTTCAGTCAGCATGTGAGGAAACTTCGAGCTAGCATCACTCCTGGCACATCTCAGTCATCCTCACCAGGCATCATAGAGGCAAGAGAGTGAAGCAGTTGGCCAGTGGCTTGCTACTTGTGACTGGGCCTCTTAGCCTTAATTGTGTTCCTCACTGAAGAATAGGGGGGTTGGCAGGTTAGCTCAGTTGTGTAAAGTGCCTCGTTGGGCAAATTCAGTCAAGAGTAGGGGACCACAGTTTGATTCCCAGCTCCACGTGCCATACCAGACTTGTACTTAAGGCAGCCTGAGCCAGAAAAAAAAAATCCCTCTACAAAGAACACACCAGAAATTTGTCATTGCCACCTCTACAAAAATTAATATCAGCAAAGTGAAACTCCCCAAACACCTCACTGATGCTTACTTCAAGAAGAAACTGCTGAAACCTAGACACCAGGGAGATCTTTGACACTGAGAAAGAGAGATACCAGATTTCAGAGCAGCACTTGGTGGATCAGAAAGTAGTGGACTCACAGATTTTAGCAAAAATCAAAGCTGTTCCTCAGTTCCGAGGCTACCTGTAATCTGTTTTTGTTCTGACAAATGGAATTTATCCTCATAAATTAGTGTTCTAAATTTCTTACTAAGAACCTAATTAAATAATTGATACTTTTTAAAAAAGAATATATATATATATATATATATATATATTTGGAAGAAATATACACCTAGATATATAGGAAACGATATATATATATTAGGAAGACAATGCTTCTGATTTTATGTGTTGCCAAAAATCTATCAATAAGGGAAAAAATAGTTCATAGAAAACCTCTAAGCATTTCATGAATTTCCATTTGACCCTGTCCTTCCAATTGAGAATGCATTTCTCACAAAAACACATTATAACTAAATTGCTTTTCCCTTTGGTTATTGGAAAATCAGTGACACTGGGAGCCTAAAGCAACATGTGATTATTAAGTTTAATTGAAATCTAGTGGGCTCAAGTTTAAGCTACTTCTTCGTCGCAGAACAGGAGAATGTGCATCTGTAATATCTGCCTAGCAATGGCTGGCTGTGCTCTCCAATCTGCAGCACTACCTGCTGCACAGGGCACCTGAGAAGCCTTCGCTGTGGGGCTCAAGCTAAACCAATAGTCACCAAGTAGTCCTTTTTAAGCGGGTCTCAAGGAGCCACATGTGTGAGTGTGTGAGGCATTTCACCAACAGCAAACAGCTGAGGAACTCCCACTCTGCTCCTTTGTTCAGTCTCCAGTGTATCGTTTATCTGTTCCCTTGACACACAATCTCTGTGATCTCTGAGGTGGAGTTTATTTCATAGAGTTGCATGCATTCTGAGGGATTTATCGCTATCAGTGTAGCACAGGTGAGCAGTTCCACAATGGTGTTTTTGTGCTAGTCTATTTTTCTAGGCAGGGGGAAGGACAGAGTCTAGAAAAGCCAATGTGTTCAACTTTTTTCTTTAAATTGGTAATCTTTTACAAATCACAATTGCAGAAGAATAGAATATGTAGGGGTCTGAGATGACTCACACCACCTGTGAGCTGCATTCTGATACATGCAGAGCATAGAGGAAGCAGATAGAAAAAAGTCTGAGGAGTTCTGGGAGGCTCTGCCTCCATCAGAATAAATTTCAATGGGGAAGATGAGACCAGTAGGGAAACACAGTCCACAGTGGATCGACAGGGTGCTTCAGTGCAGGTGGGTGGAGAAAGGGTCGGGAGCAGCTATTTCCACCAGTAAAATATATATAACTTGTAATACAGACAAATGGGATTTAAAACTTTAATAGACTCAGGTAACAACTTGATGAGTTTAGAGTCTGAGGCATTGTGTGGAAAGGAAGAATTAGTATAAAGCAAGATTATTTTTGGTACTTCAGAACCCACTCAGAACATTATACAAACTTTCATCGTTAATATAATTGGTGAAAACTGTTGCTAATATGTATTTTTTTCTTTTCTCCTTTTTTGTGCCAAGCTCAGTGGACAGGACAAAGACAATGATGAGTTTAGTGACATTACTGCTGCTTTCACGCCTACGTACTCACTTGTTTTTGATGGTAGCCTGTGATTTTTGTATGATGCCCCAAGACTGAATATACTTTTTTTCTGGCTTCTGTAAGAATAGTTTTTTAAAAATATATTTTAATTTTAGATTATTTTCATATAGACTTAAAAATGATGAAGAATAAGTCATCCCTATGGATGTAGACAACGATGACCTCAAATTTCTTTGGATTCTCCCCCACCCCCCAAACTCATTTCATTTGAACATTAGAGAATAGAGTTCCTTATAGGAGCATTTCTAGACTGGCATTTCTGAACTGTGCTCAGAAAATCTCAGTGAATGGTCTTTTTAAAAGTGTTTCCATGGTCAAATCTAATCAAGTAATGTTAACTACTCTATTATTCTTCTCTTGGAAATTCAGAGTACTCATCAGGACATGAAAGACTCTGAGAGGCCCTGAGAAATAGAAATATTTTTCACTGTGCTTTCAGCAGTAAGTGGATCCTGTTGATGCTCCACAGCAGTCACTTTCTTTTTTCCTTGCCAATAATATCTTGGTTTTATTTAGGTAGCAATGATCTAATTAGGAGCTTTGGGGAAAGCAATCTCCTTTTGCCAACAGTTAGTTTAACGCTTGGTGTATGACCTGATCAATAAGAGATAAAAGAATTGTGCGAAGACTTCTGGAGAAGTCATGCTTAACTAAACAAAGAGAGGTGTGTGATAAAGAGAAAGTGCTTTTGCCCTTGTCCCTTCTATTCCTTTTGGGGACACTATTTAGGTAAGGATGTGACACATGCGGTTGTAGTTATTCCTATGAACCCAGGAGGGGACCGCATTAATCTTTGGATGGCCGCTTGAAATGACAGAAAATGCTTGGTTCCTGGTGATATTTTTGGGCCATCCAATCAGTTCCGTAAATGACCTTGTGAATTAAATCAAGTATACTTGAAAGTGTAGACAAAAACAGTCAAATTGGTATGCCCAGCCATGCTCAAAACTTATTTGCTAGTGGAACCTTTTTATGTGTAAAACTTATTAGTATGGTGTACCATGAATCACAATTTGGAAATTCGGGTGTTAGCCTTCGTGATCACTGTAAGGGCAGCAATTCCTCTTTCCCAAAATCATAGCACGACTGCGGTGTGGCACTGGGCTCCACAGGCTGTGACAGGGATTGCTGGGAGAACACTGATTTTAACACAGACCCATATCTACCCGGAGAGCAAAAGCCAATTTTAATTGAAGTAATCCAGATTCATTTAGGGATGTCTTTACTCCAAGAGCAGCGTCAGCTAGTTTGACAGAGTATCTTAAACACACCAGAAACAGTGTATGTGAATTTCCCAGGGTCACAGCCTGTTGGGAGGATTTTACCGATTTGGATTCTTGTCTCCGTTACAAGCGGAAGAAACTGAGGCAGGCTTGGGAGACTGCGTCTGTCACAGTGATGAGGTTGCAGGCACGACTTGCATCTCACAACCGCGACTCTTTCCCAAGGTTTTAGAGGCCCAGCATGCATACAGTTAGGCCCCACCTCCTCGGGATCAAGGGTCTATGTCACTTTTGATTGCCGGCACCTTAGTACCCAAGGAGACGAGAGAAAGGATAGTGCAGAGCACTTTTCTTGTGTAGGTAGAGATTGGGTAGATCTCTTTTGTTTTGTGCTTTATATTCTTCAAGTTCCTTTTAAAAAATTACACTAGTAACTATGGCTATAAGAATTCTCAAAGATTCATAAAAAGAGAGTTGATAATCCCTAATCCCCAATGCACCTTCTTCCTTTCTCCTTCTGGTAAACAAACCTTAACTATTTATAATGTGGCCTTTCTCACTTTTCCCTGTACTCATGTCTGCACACAAATAGAGATCACTTTTTCTTTCTTTTTAACACTTTCTCAAGTTATCCACATGTGTCAGTCTCTCTATTTTATCTCTAATACCCGATAATCATCCCCATGGTTTAACTGAAGTAGAAACAACCTACTCACTTTAATATCTGTACCATATTATATTGAATTACTATAGAACATTTGGATTACTGTCCTCCAATTTTTGGATATTAACCTTATTTCTGGTTATTTTGTGTAGAAAACACACATATATACACAGAACTTTCGCTACAACATATATGCACGTGCATTTTTGTACTTTGGTACGTAATATATACCTTTTTTGTTTATCTTTGGTATTGTGTCTTACTTATTAGACCAGCACAAAAATGGTTTGCTTGATAAAAATATATGAGTACTGTATTATGATGTTAAAAAGACTTCTCACTAATCCTGGATACTAAAACAATGTAAAATTTGTTTCCAGTATCATATAGAGAGCATGGTTTAATATTACTGTTTTCATTTGCACCTCTTGACCACCAGTGCTCTCAAGCATTTTTTTCTGATGCTTATTAACTATAGGAACTACTTTTTTTTTTTATATAAGTGAGTGTGCTAAGGTTAGAAAAACCTCCTAGATACATTACTCCTGAAGGAAATATCCAGAGAAAGGCATACATGTGTGTGTGTGTGTGTGTGTGTGTGTGTGTGTGTGTGTGTGTATGTGTGTAACATCGAACGCATGTGAGAGTGTGTGTATCTGTGTATGTTGGTGGAGGTCACAATATTATTGCTCAAAATGAATAGTCCATATTAGTAGGGAAGTGGTGACAAGATTATGAGTTGGTATATTTCAAACATGATACCTATACGCAAACATCAAAATGTAACCATATGTGAAGAATTATATAAACACATTTAGGAAAAAAATAACGGTATCTTAAACAGTGGTGTAGTCCATATCCACATTTGTAGGGTGGCCTTCAACAAACAATGTAGTGACAGTAACCTCCTGTTTTCATCATTTTTAGAGGTTACAATATTTTTGTGTATGAGTTTGTTCAATTTTATACAAAATCTTTTAGACAAGGAAAGGAGATTGTATTAGCTCAGGCTTACTGGTAAGGGGACAGAGGCCCATGAGGAGGACGGATACCAGTTGAATAGATATATACGTTAGCAAGACAGTCATGTTGCCTCAATCCATGGCAACTCCACAGTTTTTTAAAGCAGGCCTTACTGTTGGCTGTGATATTCCCTTCTTTCTTTGCTTCTGTTTTGGCCATGACACATAAGATCACAGCAGATCTCTGGCAAACACACTTCTCTCAGCACTTTTGAACATTTCCTTACATTTGACACAGAATTTGAAATACTGGGTCTAGTGTTCTGAATATTTTTATGGTCATGATCAGATGACTAATTTTCAATGTCAACTATTTTAGGCTTTGCTTTTACATAAAAAAAGAAACAGACCTACAGAAGAAGAGCTGATGCTATTCTTTGTTCTCAATGTTATTGCAGTTTTTCCTAATCATGTCCCTTATGTCCCATACCCGCATCTGTTGCTGATGGTGTGACAATTGTCTTTATATTCATGACACCGTAGCTGTCCTGTCAATGGCTGTAGCCCACTTTGAATGTAATAATGATTATTTGGGAGAATATGATGTTGATGCTAACTTCTAAGCAAAGATTATGCACAAAGAAACTCTTACCTCCTAACCAGCAGGGAAATCCAAGGATCTGTACCATATCCTCATCCAGAATATGGATTTGAAGCCCATATTTCAGAGGTGCACATCCAATCAACTTTACCTGGTAGACATATGAGATAGGTATCATGCCAGTAAAAAGATATATTTAGTCTTTTTGAGGTCTAAAGAGTTGTAGTAGGCTTAGGAGTATCTGTTTAAATCGTTAACTCTGTCCTTACTTGTATCCTCTTATGGCTAAGCCTTGTCTTGCATTAGAAGTAACAATTTTATTATTTTTCCTGTGAGCTCCCTTATTTGTAGATTATAAATATAATTGTGACTTTTAATTGTAGGTACCTAGTAGAAGAGATCAAGAAAAGAGAAGGATTCAAGTTACTAATGGAAGTAAGTGATTGTGGAATTGTGCTCCTGATTTTATCAGTCAACAGTGGTGAAGTTGATAATTTTCTAATCTGTTATATGTCATTGGTTTTTCGGTTGCAGATGATGAATTAAGCTAAGTTATTAATAACTTAGCTTAATTCATACAGTCCATTATGGTAATTTGCTCTATTAGCAAGAATTTTTCTCTGTTGGGTTCATGGGGAATTCACTTGCCTTTATGTATTGAAAATTAAAATGCTCAATAATAATTACGAGGGATAATACTGAATAAATTATGACCTCTATCTTGTTATATAAATTGCATAATGATTGTACTACAAAAATTCAACTGTGCTACAGTGATGCCTGCATATGAAAAATCAATTAAGGATATGAACAATAAAGCATACACTTTTCTCTTGTTAGAAAATAATAAAGGCATATTAGCTTTGAAGCAACGGGAAAATAAACCATCTTGTTGTTGATCTTGTTACATTATTTTCCATATATAGGAAGCAAGATGGTTATAAAGATTTTTTTTCTAAAATATATATTAGGAACTATTGGATATTACTTATATCTAATTTTTAAGAAATAGAAAGTATGAGGCTATCTTAGATCTTATTATAGCATATAATTTACAGCAGTTTTTAAACAAATACACAATCACCTAAAGATAGAAATTTAGGAACCTTGCTATATATAAGAAATCCATGTATTTATTAAAATAACCCACTACTATTATGGACCACTGGACTATGTTGAATTATTTTTCTGAATTCATGCACCTACATGGACCACTGGACTATGTTGAATTATTTTTCTGAATTCATGCACCTACAATATTTGAATAGCAATGGAATACCTGTCTCTGACAAAACTAAGCAAAAAAGGGGGATATAAATGAAGGACCATTTTGTAGTGAAAAAAAATATATATATATATTTGTATATACAAAATAGTTAAGATAGATATACAGCGACTTTCTCTTAGTTCAATGAGAAGAAAGATTTGCACTAATAGTGTTTAGACAAGATAGCATGTCTGCATCTTGTACTCTGAATAACTACTATGAAGACAGAAATATGAAATGTATTAATCATTGTAACTGTTCTACTAACCTGTTTTCAAACTGTCTCATTGGTATTTTTCTCAATAAAATTAATTAAAAAATAAAAGAAATCCAGCTAATTTTAGTCACATTTTATTTGGCAAGATATGCTTAACAATTACTCTGTGAGCAAGACAGCAAAGACCCTTCTCTCAGGTGCTTACCCAGGAAAGTGAAAGAAAGTAGTAGACAATGAAGTGCACAAAGAAAGTGGGTAGGCAGATGTCTTAAGAAAACAAATAGGCTCAGGAGAGCTAATGTCCTATGCAGCAAAATGTTTATGAACATGGCAAGTTCTATGATAGAATTAAATAGAATAAGATTCTGAAATGTACAGCAGGCAGAATGGTGCATCCATCCAATTTGGACAGTTAGCACAGAGGTTTTAAGGTTAGATTTGATCTGAGACTTGAAAGATGATTACCATCAAGCCTTTCAGATGTTTGAAGGAAAGCCATCCTAGACTGAATCAGTAAACAATCACAAAGGCTTAAGGTTGAAAATATTTCCCTGTTCTTGAAGGGTGAAGTAGATGACAGGGCTGGAGAGGTGGGAAGAGACCTGATGAGACACGTCAAGGAGCTCAGCCTAAGAGTTTGGGGTGTTCCTCTAAGCGCAGTCATCACAGATGGTTTAAGAGAATGGACTTTGATTCTGATTTCAGAAGATCATGTTGGATGTCATGAGAAGCAAGAAATGTGGAGGGGTGGTAGTAAAGGGCAGACAAGCAAAGCATAGATGAGATGGGCTGGTAGACCGCTGCAGTAGCCTGGGTGGGGCATAGAGACAGTCCTCAGCCAGCCTGAGAAACAAGGCCCCTGAAGCCAGAGCACAGCTTGCACTACTGTGGAAGAGGCACTGGGTGAGAAGGCCCTCCAGTTCCAAAGTTCCCAAAAGAGATAAAGGAACTCACAGAGCTGATATTTAAATGACTTTTAGTAACACTGCAAAGAAGCAAAAAGACAAATTTAGAGTGTGGAACATTCTACTAGATGGTGACCTAATTTCTTGAATAGGTCAGGTACATGAATAAAAAGGCCAGAGTGGTGATAAAGGCTTAAGTTCAAAGAGGCTAAAGATTCCTCACAAGCAGACCCACATTTAGACTGTTGGGATCATACTCTTCTAAATTAGCTATAAATGTAGTTTTGGGGAACAGTTGGAGAATTTTGAATATGGAATGGATATTAGAACCCAGCAAAAGTTATTGGTGATTTCAGTAGCCATGACATGGCATTGGCAATTTCATTAGCCATGGGATTATAACTGCAGGGACATATCTGCAGTTTTTAGATGTGTGTATCAAAGCCTGGACCAAGAAACAAGTGATATGACTTGCTTAAATTGAGTTTGACTCACTTTTGAAGTTTTTGAGTTGGAGATACCTGTTTATACGCTCAAATTTGAGTTACTCCATTTTCTCTGGGAATGAGACCAGTTGTTCTTATGGATAGTACTGTATATCTTGGAAATATATGGTCTTTTGACAGCAAAACTGAAAAATAAGGTATATGATTAAAATCGCTGTTATAGAAAGCCTTAGAAAAATGAGGAAGGAGCCCTTCCAGTCATGTTTAGGAAATTACGTTCGTTATCCTTATGATGGAGTTGAAGGAGAATTTTAATCCTTAGGCAGCCTTGTTGCCCTGGACACATTTTTCGTGCAAGCCAGCAGGTCCTAGGGTAATAAAAGTAGCTTCTTAAATTACCTTTTAAAACTTCTGCTGAAGGGATTTTCTCAAATGTTGTTATTTTTCTTCATGTTTTTGGTGCTAAGAATCAACTCCAAGGCTTTGTATAATCTAACACTGAGCTACACCCTGAGCCTTTGCTATGAGAATTTTTGTATGTGATCCATTTTCTTTTCTCTTTATTTTGTTTTTTTTTAAAGTAGAATTAGTTCTTAAATTTCACATGGAAGTGATGAGGTAATGAAGAGGGGAGGAGAAGTGCACAGAATGAGGGTTTGTTAAGCAGCCAGTAGTGAGAAGAGTAAGGGGAGCTTTGAAAACAGTAGATGAGCATAACAAACAGTACCCGAGCTGGAGTGTCTTTTCCTCAAAACAGTGACAAGAATGCATATCTTGTTGAATATGATTGAAAGTTATCATTTCAAATAAATTCTGCATTATTCATAGTCTTCTGAAAGTCATAACTGTTTTTCTCCTTGTTGGATCTCAGATTGAATAGATATTTTCCTAAAAGAATACTCATTGCTATACTATCACTCACATATTTCATTTTGATGTCCCGGAAAGGTCCTAATTATTCAACTTTCTTTTTTGCTCCTCCTGGGCTCTAAATTAGAAAGAGTTGTTTAGGTCTCATAGATTTCAGGGACATCTGGTTGACCAACTGTCCATTGCAGGAAACCGCTCTTGACAGCACCTGTAACAGGTGTCAGCCTGCACTTAAACATTTCATGTTGCACAGAGGTCACTAGTTCATTCCTCTTCCATGTAGCTTTAATTAGTCATATTCTAGTAGTTATCCAGGCTTGCTAATGTGTGGTTAGGTGATGTGATTTATCTTCCAGAGCAACACACAGTGTTTAATCTTTTTCTTGTTATTTTGTATCATTTTTCCTAGTTATTCACTCTACCTTTCAAATTCTTTCCTACTGTGGTTTCTTTGCAAAGGAATAGATACACATGTGGGAGCCAGTGTATTCAATGGTGTGGCAAAGAACTAGAGGGCAGGCGTTCACAAAGAGAGGTAGAGCAGGACATGGTGGCGTCACTCAGTGGAAGGTTTCTTCGCATGTCTTGACTTCTTTGACCTCCTCTCCCATTTTATCTCCTTTTTATTTCACTTTTTTTCAGTCTAAATATGAATTCTCTTTACTGGATACACATTTAAATATTCACCTCCCCTCTTGTGTTTGTCCTTTATTCTGCCTACCAAGTCTCCCTGAAATGTTTTATCCACATCTTGAGCTTTGCTATGCATAGCTACGGTATCTGTCTCCATACCTGATTTTCTGTCTATATTCTCTTTCCTCATGTAAGGTTACATGTTGAAATTTTCACCTAACCTCCAAAGGCACCTCAACTCTAGCATTCCTAAACATGAAGTGCAGCCATTCTTCTTGACTAAATGCTACATTTTTCCTTTGGCTACTAGAACTATGATCCCTCCAAGCAAAACTCTTGACATCATTTTTCCCTATCTCCCTTTTCTTTCCCCTGTACATCTTGGGTACTTAATCTTCTCCATTTCCCAAACTGCTGTCTTGGTTTAGGAAGCCATCTTTGCCCAGGGTGACACCGTCTCAAACCTGCCTTCTCACTTGCAATCTTAGTTTCTCCAGGCCATCTTCCATGCTGCACTTTGAGTGGATTTTCCAAAATGAAGCCTGTCTTCTAGGGTAAGCTGTAGTGATGCACAGTGCCTCTTAGTCAAGACCAAACTCCCAGATACAACATACGAGCAAGCCCGCCTGAAATGACTCCACCTCCACTTCCATGTTCAGCTCTTGTCCCTCACCTCTGTTCTCTACTCATTCCAGCTACTTGCCACCCCTTGAATTCACTGGCTTCCTCATTTGCACTGTTCCTTTGCGAAAAAGTGTTACTTTGATTATGAGAAATTTCTCCTTTTGTAATGTCTACTCCAGTGCAGCTTAACTGCATTACCTAGCTCCCTTCCTAGTGTCTGAAGGTAAATATACAGTGTAAGTCATTCGCTTTTCCAAATACTTGGTCCAATATCTATATCAGATTGAACAGCTTGATTGGTCTCTGTGAATATGCTACAAGTGTTATTGTTCCCCTTCAAATATGATATAAATAAATTAAGATAGTGGCATATCTCAGCTTGTATAGATTTGAATGAAATTATTCATCCACTTGAAAAGACCTCTGTTTTAACTAGTAACAGCACCAAGTAATAAACACTAAAAAACCAGAGTGCCTTCTATATGCCATATATGGTGCTGTATAGTAGAATAAATTATATTTTATTCATCTAACCACCCTATGAGGAAGACTGTCTTATTCCACCTCCATATTATAGTCTAAGAAACTGAAACCTAGAAAATTTCGCACTCTTCCAGGTAAAGCCGTGGCAAATTTGGAATTCAAACTCATATCCTTTTGATGCTAAACTCTGGGCTTTTTATGCTACCTGTTATTTCCTTTGGAATGTTCCAATAGTCCAATCTTATACTAATAACTAGAGGCTCAAAACTGATTAAAATCTGCCATGCCAGCTGTTTCTTCACTCAATATTTGCATAATTGATTATTTGAAACTATATGCTAGAGTCTGCATTTATACTTATTAAAATGCATGGTGCTAACGTTGATTTTTATTACTATTATTCTGATCTAGTAACATCACAAGCAAAAGAAATGATTTTTTGAAATATGACCCAGTTTTATAGAATTGAACTTTTATCTTTGTGACCACCAAATTATTTCCCAAGTGATCTCATATCATTTATTTAATAATTCTTCCTGGAATTGATGTCTAACCACCTTGAAATAAATTTTGTTTCTATTCTAAGATCGAGATAAAATGCATCCACCTTTTCTTTACAGATAAAATAAGATATGACAAAGTACTTTTTGCTACACATATTTTGTATCCTTCACTCTACACTTGTATTCCTTTTGGTACCTTCTCAGTTTTACAATCTTCAAGAACACACATTCAGCACGTTCCTAAGACACTTGAGAGGTCCCATTTTCACATATGAAGGGAATTAAAGGTAGATATCTTGCAGATTGTTCTTTTCTGAAAATATGCATCAGGGCTCTGAAGTCTCTTGAAGCAAGTCACTATATAAAGTACAAGCTAAGGGGGGAAAACAGGAAAAACTCAACTATGATCTTTGTGAACATTCAAAAACAGTTTTTCAGCCCCTAACAATTTTGGAAATAACTAAAATGAAGATATTCTGCCAATTGGAGCCTCAAACTCCTTCTAATGAAATAACAGGTCAGAGAAGCTTTACACAATTTCAGAAGTCATAAGTACAAAAGCCATGGCTTTCTAAAGAACATGTTTGGGCAAAAGGAATCACAGATATGTCACTACCAAAAATATCTAAACAAACACATTGAAGGAAATTAAAAGTCTAGGTCCTAACTTGTGAAACACAGTCTATTACAGCAGATATAGCTGTTGTGAGTTTTGTAATATTCTCATGTAAATGAAAATGCATATAAAATTTGATGTATTAATTAGGGTGCATTCAGAAGGAAAACAAGCTGCCAGTAATTTGAAGTGAGAGATATGAGGTATGATCAAAAGCTATAGTGAATGCTTAATATAATTCGATCCCTGAGGGTTACTGGGGATTGAATTCAGGACCTTGCGCTTGCCAAGCAGGTGTTGTATCACTGAGCAATCTCCCCGCCCCTGAATGCCTAAATTAAAAAAAAAAAAAAAATATATATATATATATAATCTTATTATCAATGTGTAGATAGATAATTAGAGTCCTGAAGCAATGCCATACAGGGAAGAAAGAGAACCCTGAACACACATTGTACAGGAATACCTAGTAAACAGAGCAGCAGGACTCCAATGGAGATAGTGACCCCAACAAAGAGGGGTTTGCAAAGATACAAACCTCTCTGAAGAGAGGGTGATATGGCTCCCAGCTTGGCAGAAAAGTTCACTGAGTGGCCACATTGCTAAGATGTCCTAAAACCCACCCTTTTGAGTGCTGAGTAAGGCTATCCACGGGAAGGGGCCACAGCTTGGCATTCACTGCAGGCTGCCCACAGAGACTCCAGGGGATTCCTGTGAGACAAGCTGCCGACTGGTGTTACTCCCTGTGGAACCATTTGGGGCTTCTGTACATGTCAGGTGTACCTGATAATAGAGGCCAAGTTTGGCTTCCTAAACCAAATAATTATTAGAAGAACTAACCTCAGGGTCAGGCTTGAAGAGGGAGGAACCAAGGTATCACTGAGGTGTGTATAGCTGGCCTTAAGTGGTGGTCAGCACTGGCTTCAGTCAGCCTCCGCCTTCTGCTGTCTCCTGCTCTAGGCTCCTCCTGTATGTAGAGGGAAGAGAATCTTCTAGGTGTAAATAATGAAGAAAAAAGATTCCTGAAGGCTGTGTTCAGCAGTTAGGCAGAACGGATATCTAATCTATACAAGCTTGATTTGTTACCACATTTGAAAGACTAGTTAAGAGTATAGGAAGTATTTGTTTAATAGCATTCAAAGATAAATCTTAGGATAACCAAACAACTTTCACACTCTCTTAATTTATAGCCAGAATATGCCAATATTTGCTTTTGGTACATTCCTCCAAGCCTCAGAGAGATGGAAGAGGGACCAGAGTTCTGGAAAAAACTTAATGTGGTAAGTAATGAGTAAATTATTTATTTATTTGTGTGTGTGTGTGTGTGTGTGTGTGTGTGTGTGTGTGTGTGTTTTCTTTTTGAGACAGGGTCTTCCTGCACAGTTGAGGCTGGCCTTGAGCTCACTCTGTAGCCTAGGCTGGTCTTGAGCTTGCAGTGATCCCCCTGCCTCAGCCTCCTGAAAGCTGGGATTATGGGCATGCACAACCATGTCCCACTTGTATTTTTATTTTTGATGGATAAACTCAATACCCCTTTGTCTGTTGATACTAAAAATCATTCTGTACTTCAGTGCCTCCTGAAATTCTAGAGAGGTGGCTACTTCCATTTTGGAAGATAATATACCAAATATTATAAACATTGTTTACATCTAACAGAATGACAGACTTCATACATATACACAAATCCAAAGCAATTGTCCTGCTTGCAAGATAATTATAGAATTTGTATGAAGTTCTGATTCCCAGTGAACTGCCGACCGTGTGACCTTGCAGCAGGACACAGATTTAATGTGTGTGATACAGAGTGACTGCTTTCAGGCATGCTAGAACATCTCTCTGAACTCTCTTGGAAATAATGTTAAAGATTTACACCTGATATCCTTTCTAAGTTTGCAGCGTTCTGTCCACTTTACCAGCAGAGGCCTGCATCTTACACTAAGAGGAAAAAAAAAAAAAAGATGCCAGGAATGGGTTTCCACTGGTCACTGAATAAAATATGGTAACCAAAGCTGCCTTTCCTGCTGTATGTACATGCGTATTGAAAGTAATTTAGGACATCCCCATGGGGATTATGTACCCATAACCTGTCGCCTGAATGTTCAGGATGGGTTGCAGCCATTAAATTTAAGCAATTCCTTAGTACTCCTTAATAAGCATGGTGGACTTCATGCCCCTGCCTTTGGAAAAAAAAAGTGAGGCTTGCAACAAGCATTTACTGAGTGTGAGTTGCATCATGCCCTGGAGAGACAAACGGCGAAGAAGACCTCTGTCCCTGCCCTTCCGAAGCTTATATTTAGGGAGACAATGAGTAAAGACATTATCACCAGGTAAGTGGAGATAAATCCTGTTTTCAGTGAAAGTGGAGAGTAAGAACATCTACCTTGGCGTGTGACACCAGACCCTGAGTCTTCGATAATAAATACGGGTCAGAGAGGAAATAGTTGTGAGGACAGAGATTCCAGGAGAAATCGCGGCAGGATGACCGGAGGCTCGAGAGGGAGAGACGGCCAGGAAAGACCACAGGAGTGGGAAGAAGCAGCGAGGAGAGGAGAGAGTGGGAGCGAGGCTGGAGAGACTCGGCTTCCTCGGCCAAGAGCTTGAGATTTTGGCCATAATCTGATCAGGAGGAAGCAAGCATTGTGTTGCCCTCAGCTGGGGCTCCGTGCAGCTTCACCTGGCAGCAAGTGTTTAGCTTCAGGTGATTTTCTGTATTTTAAATGACCAATATGCAAATATTGGGCGTCTCTTCAAACCTGAAATGATGTAGAAAAGAGAGGGGTGGTGTTATCTGTTCCTGGCCTGGAACAGCCCTTCCTTACCCATTTCAGGCAGTTAACATAATCCTCGGGATTCCGCTTGCATTTCTTTCTCGCAGTGCAAATAGGAAAATGCTTAGGAATGCATTTCACACCTGTAAGCAGGTGCAGGGGCCGGGGCTTTCATC